TCCGCTATTATTGGCTCTAATAGTGAGGGTTTATTTTATTATCATGTACGTGCACACATTATAACTGAAAAGCCTTACCAATCTTTCGTGGACAGGTAATGCGGCTGCCTTGTTCATGTGGGACCCACTTTATTTTAAAAAATTGATTTATATTTGCTTTGCAATTGACAATCTCATCCTTGTCTTCTTCACTTCCCATTGCGGACTCCGGCAAGTTTTCATATAAAGAATACTAAAACAAAAGGCACAGATCAATATTCAAAATTCGAAGAACATCAACAACTTCATTCCTTCAGATTCCTTTTAAAAATAAAAAAATAATAAAAAATGAGATATTTGATTTTCACTTGATAACGCAAATAAATAAATAAATAAAAAGGAGAGAAAAGCGCATGAGTATGGCTGGAAAAAGTTCCCCCCCAAGACTTGACAGAGGTTTAATGGTCGGCATACAATGACGGGGAAGGCGATGGCTACTGTCCTATGGCCGTTGAAGAGGAGAGAGAAAAAAGACAAGTCAAATAGAGGATGGATTAGGGCTTTTTTTTATCTCTTACGATAACAATGGAAAATTAGTAAAAAAATAGGCCGATATAAAAATTTTAAAAAAATATATAAGTTAATTTTTAATTATAAAAATTAATAGGTTATAATTTATCAAGTTATAGTTTATAATTAGATAAGTTATGGATAAATTTGTTAAGTTATGGTTCATAATTAGATAAATTATGGATAAAAATTGTAAATAACTTGTTAAGTTATAGTTCATAACCAAACAAGTTATGAATAAAAATAGTAATTTAACTTATTTATTAATTTATATAAACTATTAACCTATTAATTTTAATTCATCTTAAATTTAAATTTTGATATATTTTTTTTTTTTCTCTCATGACAATGGCGTCTGGGTTTCAAAACTAGTGTTGGGCCTGAGCCCAACATTTATACTCAGATGAATGTAGCAAGAAAATTTATTAGTTTACTTGAATTCGAGTTTAAATGTAATTTAATGTAAAAAATTTTTATTATAATAAAAAATTAAATATAATTATTTTTTAAAATTTTTTATTATAATAAAATTTAAATCAGTTTTAATATGTGTGTGCTTCTCCGCTTAGGATTCTTTTACAAATTATACACAAATTACAAATAGTGTAATATACAAGTTGTTTTAGCCTCTGCACCACTAGATTTTAATTTTGCGGGAGATAAATTTAGGACCTACCTACAGTCTAAAAAACGGATGCACCAAGATCCCTAAAATATTATCTTAATTTTTTCTTCCACAATTCTCCTATTGAAAAATAAACAACTACGGTTCTTCCTCTAAAACATGGGGATAAATTAGTAAGAAAAAAAAAGTATTTTAATAAAATATGAAAAAGTTAAACAAAAGGTCAAAAAAAAAAAAAATAGATTATACTTACTAACGTCCTTGAATTTTAGAGTCATTCTCAGTTTACTTTTTAAACTTTAAAAATTCTCATTTTGTCTTCGAATTTTGAATTGTTCTTAGTTAACCTCTTTTATTGTAATTTTTGTTAAAATCATATGAAAAAATAGATGTTAAGTGGGGTTTTTATCTATTTATTTTTAACAGAATTCTAAACAAAAAGACTACGTGACTATATTATTTTCTTTTTTATATATGTTTTTAGCAGAAATTGTAACAAAAGAGGTTAAGTGGAAACAAATTAAAATTCATAGAGTAAAGTGAGAGTTTTTAAAGTTCAAGAAATAGCTGAAATTGACCTTAAATTTCAAGAGGCATAAGTGATAATAAAACTAAAAAAAAAAAAAGACAGACAATAACTTAACGATAGTTTTTCTGATAAGATAAAAAAAAAGAATTACCGGTACTTTTCTAATTTAAACTATTAAATTTGTATAAAAATTATTTATTTATATATTTTTTAATCTAATACGATTTTAACTTAACATAATAATAATAATAATAAAAAAAAAAAAAAAAAAAACTAATACTATCGGTAGATTAAGCCTACCAAAAAAATCCCCAACTTAACCAAGAGAATGAACAGCGAAAAAGAGAACTCAAGAATGTTTAACAGATAATAGATAATTGACTCTAGTTCAGTACTTAAAAACACTCATTGGCTATTGCGCAAGGCGAGTGGAGCTAATCTTATATTAGATTTTAGATAGTACTTTCTTTCATATCAACACCTGGCGTATAACTCTAGGCTATTAAAAAACAAAAGTTCCAAAATTAGCATTAAACCCCCCATAATTAAATGAAAAGACAAACGTGGATTCTAGCTTATCTAATTATACTCAATAATTAACAATCTTAATCCTGTGAAGTCTCACGATTAATTAAAGTAAGATCATGATTTCCCGTTTCCTCCCAACCCAGTAAAGTACGGCGTTGGAATCTAACTTAAAATAGAAAAAGTAAAATAAAATATTGATGCACCAACGCAAGCCAGATGGGATGGGACGCATTGCTGGCCAGTTTTTACTTTTGATCGCATTAAGATTTAGAAAATTCAACATTTTTTTTTATTAAAGTCAGTTTCTCTGATCATTAAATATGATTAAAATCACTTTAAATTAAAAAAAATATAAAAATATATAATTTTGGACACAAATTTAACAATTAAAGGTAAAAAAATTAAGATTATTGAAGAAACCTCCAAAAAATTAAGATAAGATTCCACGTGAGAAAGTTTTGCTCCCCTAAAGTGTTTTCTTTTTGTTGCCACTACTGAGTTTCCCTTTCAAGACTGGTTGGTGACTCAAGGAAAAGGGGGAGATATGCACATACATAATCCATTTCATACATACTTTGTTGGTTGAGACATAATGATTCCCTCGAATTATTCTTTGCTAATTAAGGTCTCAATAACACTATTTATATTCATATATATCTAGATCGTTCATAAATAATGCACAACACTTTATAGGGGATCAATTTTGATATGACTTTTTTTTTTTTTTCCTTACAGTTGTCAAGATGTAAACTTGAAGTGCTTTTATAGAACAATAGAGATATTATTGGAAAACGACCTTCATTTTCTGTATGTTGAAATTCTCCTTTTCTAAAAAAAAAGCTTGTAAATGAAACCTTTATAAGATCAAAAGTAGGAACTGGATTTTTCCATCTTAATAGGTTGACACGTGGAACTTACTTTAAAACTAAAAAATCAAAGAAGAAAAAAGAGAAAGGAAAACGCGTACAATACGAGTAGTGTGCAAGAAAGACTAATTGGAGGTAATTGGTCTCCATAGACACATTGATCAATCAATTTTAAACAGCAAAAAGGAAAAAATAAAATAAAAGAAAACCAAACCCAAGATTATAATCAATCAATTTTCACTTGACAATTGCATTTACCAAAATTTTTATAAAAAAATAAAATAAAATAACCGTTGCCAACTCTTTACCCATCCGTCTCTTTTCCATTGCTTAGTGATCAGAATAAAAATTCTTGATAATGTCATGTTTTTTGCATACTCATAAAAAATGAGGGCAATATAGTCATTTCACGGACTACTCTCGTCTCCGACATAATCCAACACTTGTGGAGAAATCCCTCCCCCTCGTGGGCCATACACGTGTCCTCCAGCCCAGAAGTGGGCCCACCAACTCCCTCATTGTGATAATTGATTACCTGCTTTTCCGCGGACAGCCGTTTGATATGGCTACGCCCGGTACTTGACACGTCGTTTTGGTGTTTGATAACTTTGATTCACTTCTTGGGTCCCACAATCGACCTTTGGGATTCAGATGGGTCCCATAACGATGCCGTCCGTCCCCATCTCTGACCAATTAATCTGGGGGACGTAGCGGCCGTCTGATCTCAACTTTTTGTTTCATCAGAGAAAGAGAACGACAATTATACCACGTGACAATAGAATAGGCTCCGGGTCCGGCTACTCAGTTCATTTAAAAGAAAAAAAAAAACCAGTACTTTAGCGCTTTTCAGTGCATAAAAAAAAATTTGTCAAATTCTACCTAATATCCGGGTCCCACGTCCTGCCAGCGCGACACCTAGCTAATACAGAGATGGTGTACCATTGCCTGGTCCCACTCCGTGCGTCCGCTAGATTCCCCATAAATACACAGATTTCAATCCGATACATACCGGTTCATGATTCCACAAACAATGTTTGAAGAAATATACGACATGTGCAAAAACATAGAACTAGTATACTTTTTATTTGTCTTTATGGGGTTTTAATCGCCTCACGAGTCATTCTCTAAAATTTTGAGGATAGACTATAAAACATTAATTCTTTGAACTTTTTTCCTCAAAAAAAAAAAAAAAACTTATGGACACATGTCAACTTAAAAAAAAAATAAATTTTAAATACGAATGAATTCATATAGAGATTTTGTATCAATTATAAATCTTTTGCTCTCGCTATATAAGTCACGTTTTTTACAGTTATTTATAAATAGTGTTTTCATTTTGTTTTTTACAGGAAGACAATTAAAAGAATTATTATCAGAGAATAAAAAAAGTGCTTTGTATTTATTTTTCCTTTTCGATCTAATATTTTACTAAAAACATTTTATATACACAAACTTATTTAAAAAATATGACCAGATGACGGATGCATCATTACAATTTCTTTTTTTTTTATACTCAATACAATATTTTATAAAAATAATTAAACATAATATCAGATATGGTTTTAAAATTATTTTAAAAAATTTTTATTTTCATTTTCATGCCTAAAACAATATCATAGCATTTTCCTTTTTCAAAACTCTATACGCAAAAGATAGGACGCAGAGAAAGAACAAATGGATCGGCCACAGCAGAGTTTTTTCCCGTTCATAGAAAGGGCAGTGGTGGGTATTTTTGGGAAGAACCGGAGACCAGGGTGGCAGGGATAGATCAAAGAAGGACACGTGGCGGTGCAGCGAAAAGTGAAAAGAGTACGACATCGCGATCAATCAATCAAATTGAATGCCTCTTTTCCTTTCTCTTCCAAATGCTATATCTCCTCACACGTGTCCCCCTCGCAGCTGTCTCGTCCTCGCTATTTTATGGATTTATCCCATCGCAAACTCCTCTCTCTCTCTCTCTCTCCAGTCTTCTCTCTCTAGCAAAGCTCCTACATGGAAACCTTGGAGGGCGAGCAACTCGAGCGAGTCGACTCAGTAGTGGCTGACCTCGAATTGGCGTCAACGTGTTCCGGCCTGTCGTCGGTTTTTACCACCGAGGATTCCAGAAGCTCCTGCGAAGTCTCCATGATGAGCAACAGCTCCGGCGAGATTCCGAGAATTCTGGTGTTTGAGGCGGCGGTTCCGAGGCTACCGGAGTCCTCCGCATCCGGCGATTCGACCGCGGAGGAGATTGCGGCGGCGTCGGCGAGGCAGAAATGCGTCGGGCGGAACAACAAGGGGGTGAGCTGGGGCTTTACTTCGATAATCGGGAGGAGGAGGGAGATGGAGGATGCCGTGGCGGTTGTCCCGGGGTTCGTGTCGCAGAGTTGCGATCATGTCGGAGGTTGTACGGCTCCGGGTTCTAGAAGCTCCGGCGAGATCTCACCTCTTCATTTCTTCGGCGTGTACGACGGTCATGGTGGCTCTCAGGTATCCTCCTTTTTTAAAAAAAAAAAAATTGTTTTTAAACATTTTTTTATTTTATTAAAATTACAGGACCAAGGTTAGGTGAGTCGACAAAATTAAAATTAAAAATAAAAATTGCTGGTCGGGGCGATTTTGAATTTGAGGCATTGACTAATACATTATTTATTTAATTATACTATTTATTGCTTTCAGTGAAACTGAATAGAAACGCAAACGTGACAGTAATGTTAAGTTTTTTGTTTATTCTTTCGGGGATAAAAATAGAAATTGTTTTACAAGTGCAAATACCCGTGTAAATATCTTTTGGATCAATATTTTTATTATTTATTTTTAATTTATAATTTTTTAAATAGTTAGGCTAATAAAAAGAGTGGAGTAAAAGTAAAGGTGTAGACGCTCTTGAGAGTAAATTCTCCGATTTTTCCCTTACAAGAAATAACTTAAACGTGTCGTACGTTTAGTGGTTCATGTTGAGGAGTTGGGCTTTGGACATTCGCTAATACGGAGTACATCTTCTGAGCCGTCGGATTAAATGAATCTAACGGATGAGCGTTAACAGTTTTTCTTTTATCTTTTTAGAACCGTTTATTTCTCTTATTTGAAAATTTTTTAACTTGAATTGAAATATAATTTTATATAAAATTTTTTATTATAATAACAAAAATTAAATATGATTATTTTTAAAATTTTTATTATAATAAAGTAGAGAGATTCGTTCTTGATTTGAATCATGATTCATAATTTATTACAATATTTTTTCTCATAAAAAATACACATAAATAAAAAATAATTCGAATCACATAATTTAAATCTTTCCAAAAACGCAACGAACCCTTAAATTTTAAACGGGTCTTAATATTTTCCTACGAAGAGTATTTATTTTAGGGCGGGCTCCGTTTGTACATGGACACGTGTTGTCGAAATAGCGACGCAGAAAATTTGGAAGTTTGGGAATTTCTGATGGAGCGTTGCTAGCGTCACTGTTTACATAGTAGTGATCGTGACAGACGATCATAACCACTGCTGTACGATGATGATGCAATAGTGTCTGGACCCACCGTGGAATTATGTGCATCACAGAGTGTCTCGGTTGATGGAGCCTCATAGACAACCTGACTTTTGGTTTTTTGTTTTCTTGAATATTATAAATCTGCGTAGTAGATATATTTCCATTGGTTTTCGTCTGTAGTTGAGTATTTATAATAAAATAATTGACTATTTAATTGATAGATCAGAATCATAATATTAATTATAATATTAAAATTATTTTTAATTTATGTGTATTTTTTATAAGATAAAATATTATAATAAATCATAAATTATGATTTAAATTAAAAAACGAATTCTCTAACTAAATAAATTGATAAATGTATAAATAAATAAATAAATAGAATTGATCAAGAGGTTCCACTTTTGTTGGAAGAAAAAGAGGAGAGTAGGGACCACAGGTTCTTTAGGTGATATACAGTGGCGGTGGGTTCCTAATTTGGTCCATTTTTTTGTTAATTTTCTTGGGAGAAATTGATTGTGCCTTCTACTGATAATCGTGTCACCTATAAAAAAGTTTTTTTTTTAATTTAATTTTTTTGTGGTGGTCACTTGAATTCCACCAGGCACTCTGTAGGAATGAGGAAGAAAAAAAAACATAGTTTAATTTATTTTTTTTAAAAATTATTTTCGCTTTTTCTTTTTCACTTTCTTTATTGTTATTTTTATTCTCTTTTTGGTTGCAGCTGAGAGTGAGAGGTTCATGTTTCACGTGTAATAATGTCCCGGAGTGGTAGGTGATGTTGTCGTTCTGAGTCCAATAGTAATAATGCGATCGACATTAGGATACAGCTGTTTTGTATTCTTTTAGTTTTTGATGCTTTGGTAAGGCGCTTTACTGCCATTGTCGTAGACAAAATTAGTACAAACTACAAAGTGGAAACAAGCCAAGTATTTTTTTTTTTTATTCCTATATAGTATATAGTTATAAAAGAACCATGGCTTTAAACCATGGTTGGGACTTGGGAGAGTGGTTCTTTTTCTTTTCTTTGAACAAAATAAAAGAGTTTGATCAATATATGAGAATAACGGTACTTTTATAGTTTTAACATATTTGGAGTTTCCCAATTTAGCTTGCCAGAGTTGAATATTTGTCTAGGCGAATACCCAATTCAGTCATAGAACTTCTACTTGGGGGATAAATCTACGTTCTTAAAATTACTTTTGTCTTATTTTTATTTTATTTTTATTTTTTTGAGGGTTTGTCGTAGGTCCTTCAATAAGACCCATATTTACAGTGTAATGCATTTATTTAATATGACAATGACGTTAAAAGTGTGTAACATTGATCTCTGATAGATGAAATTTTTTGTTATACCTTTATAAAATAATTAGTATATGAAATAAATGTCATGTTACACCCTCCAACTTTTACATGTTATATGTAAGATGATCCTACTACGTCGTGAAGGAGTTAGAGAGCCTTAAGGCCAATGGGATTAACCATGATATATCATCTTTTCCATAGCATATTGTGCAACAGAGATCATCATATGTTATATATCCTCAAGTGAATAACAACATGGAAAGATATTGGAAATTTGACTATGGTATTAAAATGCAACACATCGGTTTGGATTTATAGGTGGCTAAATTTTGTGCTGAGAGGATGCATGAAGTGATAGCGGGAGAGTGGACTCGAGAAACGATTGCTGATTATGAATGGAAGAGAAGATGGGAAACAGCATTCTCCGTTGGTTTCGAGAGAGCTGACAGTGAGGTCATGACGGAGACAGTCGCGCCGGAGATGGTTGGATCAACTGCAGTTGTTGCGGTCCTGTCTGGTTGCCAGATTATTACATCTAATTGTGGAGACTCCAGGGCAGTTCTTTGTCGAGGGACTCAAACAATCCCTTTGACTGTCGATCAGAAGGTCATATTAGAAACTCTTGTACCATTTTATATGATTCTAGGTACATAAATATAAATGCTTTACTGTATGTTTGAAAATGTTAATACAACTCTTCCACGTAAAAGATTCAAAGCGTTTCTTAGTCAATGGCCTAAAAAATCGTTTCAATGTGCCTGGACACAATGTGGAGAGAGAAATAATTCGCTGTTTATTTCCTGTTGCTAAATATTGAGAAGTTCTTTCTTAATGTATCAACACTTATTTCTGACAAAGATTGGGAACTGGTTTTTTCCTTTGCTGCTTCTACAGCCAGATAGGGAAGATGAACTCCTAAGAATTGAAAGAGACGGAGGGAAAGTCATAAACTGGAACGGTGCTAGAGTATTCGGAGTTCTTGCCATGTCCAGAGCCATAGGTTTTCATCTCTCTTCTTGTCTTCGTTATTCATTACTTCCCCTCGGCTTTTTTATTAAGCTATCTAATTTATATGCCAGTGCTGAAATTACTAGAGAATCCAAATGTTTACATCTTTCCTTTTGCAGCAATCTTCAATAGTTCATTAGATCAAGAGTAATGTGTGATTGTGTGTGCAAGATAACTTATTCGAAGTTACGCAAAAATCAAATTACACGCTTCTGGCGCTCCCTAGAGTTTGATGATTTTTAACCATAATAGAAAGATTGTTTAACGTTTGAACTGTGTTTTAGTTTAGCTATCAACCAACGTAATTGGTGTCTTTGTTACACTACTGGGGCCAAACATGCCTTTAACAAGAATGAAAGAATAAATTATTCTAATAGCAATCTCTGTTGAATTAGAGGCCCCAAAGACCAACCATTCAAACAAAATATTAGTTGTCCGTGCGCCAGCTGATGTATCCTCAATTTCCTATGCTAACATAGGAACATTTGTGCATGCATACATTAAAAGGTTCACTGTTTTCCTTTGTTGGTGTATCATATTGCATCAGTTGGGTTGGTTATACATCCTCGCTATCGAGTATATCAAAAATCTTGTTGATATTCTACTATGATTCATCCACTGATTAATTCATAATGTTTTATGCCGTAATCATGAATCACTCATGATTGTTTTAATTTCAGAGACTATATGCTGGAGAAGATGATCTTCATAATCTTGGTAGTTTCTCAAACTGATCTTAACATGGCAATGATCCTTGTGACCACTCCCTTGCACTTTGTTTCAAACTGTTGAAATTAATTTCTGTTAATCTTGCTCACAGTCCCATGATAATCATTAAGGGATTGTTTGCATTGGTGTACAATAGAAATTCAAGCTGGGCTAATGGTTAGCATTTTGCTTTGGTGTTTTTATTCGGAGGTATGACTGACAGTTGCTTGTTACATAGCACTGATGATGAGACCAACTAACTAGCTTTTGTTTTTTTTTAACTAATTTATGTCCTGCTTTTCAGCAGTTAGGTGAAATTCTCATGTCACACACAACAATCTCATGGTACTTATTGAACAGTGGATATGTTTCAGGCGATCGGTATCTAAGGCCATGGATAATTCCAGTGCCCGAGATTACATTCACGACGAGGAGTGATGAGGATGAATGTTTGATCTTGGCAAGTGATGGGCTTTGGGATGTCATGACCAACGACGAGGTTGGAGAGGTGGCTCGTCATCTTCTAAGAAGACGCCGGAGGTCCATGTTGAATAGTAGTACTGATGATCAGACATCTCCAGCACAATTTGTTGCTGACAATCTCACTGAGATTGCATATGGAAGGCACAGTTGTGACAACATTTCTATCATTGTGGTTGATCTCAAATCCAAGAGAAAACGCCAGCCAAGGCAATGAAAAAGGGGCGTGTGGTGTGAGAATGATTAGGCAAAAGGAAAAATCTCTTTACTGTTTCCCTCTAACATGAAAATCCCAATTGATCTAATTCACCCTGTTCAATCAATGGTGAGGGCAGGATTGATCTAGTGAAGTCCATACCTGACCTTCAGCTACCTTTTTTTCTAACCTGTACATACATTATTGCTAACAAAAAATGGGTTTGTTACCCAAAAAAAAAAAGATTAGATCAATCTCCATTTTAATTGGCTTGGTCAAGAGGGGGAAAAAAAGAATTTGTACGGTAGTATTTCCTTGAGATGAATAAGAGAAAAATTCGAAGGATAATGGTTTGCAAGATTGTTTCTTTAAGAGTTTTTTTTGCCCCTCTTTCATGTATATGATTCTACTTCAGCTAATGTTTCTACCAAGAAATCTTGCAATGTCCCTTTCCCTTTCCCTGAATTAAAAGTACATTATTGTGTTTAGTTATACATAAAAATCTTGCAAGAAATCTTATCTCAAATTCTTAAGAATATTATATTATTGTGTTTGGTCGTATAGAAATAAGAATGTTCTAAAGCTCACACTCAAGCTGAAAACCAGGGCACTCCACACAGTTCATAAAAAAAAGTACATCAATTTGTTTATCTGTTTTACTCTCGTTTTGGGTAAAATATCATTGGATTGAGATCTAAAAGAAAGAAAGAAAGCTGAAATGGGGAGGGATTAGGATCGCTGAAATCAACGAGCTGAAGATCGCTGCCTAGTGGCTGATCAATGACGCCACTAAACTTGGTGGATTGGGATTTGACACTGCTTTTCTCAAATGGGTCGCTTCTTTTGCTGCCATGTGAGTGCTTTTTTTGTCTCTACTTTACCACTTTATGCCTCACTGATGAATACCCATACGTTGTTCTAAGCTATTCGACTTGCGTTTGATTCAGCTTCTTTATTTTTAGGCCTTTTGATGGAGAATTTGCACATTTGTTGAAATTTTGATGGAGGATTTGCCGATTCCTTCGCTCCTCCTCCTTCAGGAAATTTTCAGGCGAAGAAGCTTGGATTGGTCGAGGACGAGTTTGTTAGCTCCAGTTTGAGATTGATTTGCTGCAAGGAACTCGACGAGATTTTGATGGGCCGAGAAGAAATGGGTGAGAGAGATTTTGATTCCCGTGATATAACTTTCACGGGAAAGTGAATAACACCTTATTAAGTGGGTTTAATATCACCTCAAAATGTGGTAATATAAATTTTATGGACTTCACTTTCTTGAGTTTTAAAAAGTTTAATAATTGTACTAAACATAAAAATCTTTCAGATTTTCATTCTTACTTTTAAGATTATCCCATATTAAACGCCTCCTAAGTGTATATTTGACCATTGAAATGGAACGATAACTTCTATAATTCAAAATGAATCTCAAAGGGCTTGTTCTTTTGAGTGAAAAACTCAAAAAAAAATAACTCGAGTTACAACTTTATTCGAGTTCAGGTTCTTTTAAGTTTAAACTCGAATTTAAACTCGAGTTCAAACTCGAGTTTAGGACTAAAACTCGAGTTTAAGTTTTCCCTTCAACTCGAGTTCAGAAACTAGAACTCAAATTAATGAACAATATTTTTTCTATTCTTAAAAATTCTATAACTTTTTCGTTTTAATTCTGATTGAGATGATTTTTTTTCTATGCGTTGACAACGAAAGGACGAATAAAATCTGATCCATATACCCTATTAAAATTGTTCATCAGCATTGAATTTTTATTAAAATACTATCTAAATACAAATTCAAGTTTTGACTCACTCAAACACAAACTCAAAAAGATTCTTATCTCAAACCATAACTCAAATGTACACAACCAAACACAAACTCAAGTTACAAGTTTAACTCAAGTTATAATTCAAATTCAACTCAAGAATTATACTCAAATTAAACTCTAAAAGAATAAGCCCAAAATGACTAAATAAAAATGATTGTCCCGTTCCAAAAGTGATATTAGTTAAAATTCTCTCTCCTTAAATTACTCATCTCAGTGTTCTATTATTTAATTTTAAAGAACATATTTATTTCATGGTTTGATGCTTATATATGTTTTTTTTGTTTTTTTTGTTTTTTTTGCTAATCATGCTTATATATTTTTATGCAATGCAACTTATTTTTATTATTTTTGTCATTATACTTATGTTCACCTTTGTTGTTATGGATACAATACAAAGTTAATATTATTTGACCATATTTACATATTACACATAAACATTAGTAACCTTTTAAAATTCTAATCTTATTTCATTATTGTGTAAGTTGCAATCTTTATATTCTTATTTCTTAATTATCATAGAGCTTTATGTTATTTGATTCCATCGATTATGATGGCGAATATTATCATGAAATTACAATGACAATGGCTACGTTTGCATATTTTATGTAAAACATTATCGACTTTTCCAAATTTCTAATCTTATTTATTATCATAAAGTTGTAACTTTTACTAATTTTAAGTTCATACTTTTTAGGTTTTTCATCGTTATGACACAAAAAATAAGGATAGTAGTATCGTCATACATATGATTTTTTTTTTATAATTTTATAATAAAATGATATTGTGGGCAGGTTTAAATTCGTAAATAGATACCTATATTTCAATCATATAATTAAATTTAATAGTTGCTTATAGCTTTAATAAGTAGTCTATAGAGTATCTTGGTAAGCCACCCTCTACTTTTATAATCTTTATTTTTTTTTTTTAGCCTTAAAATTCGTTATAAGATCAAGATTTAAATTTGGGATTATTATTTCATGAGGTAGTCCAGGTTGCTGCCATTCTCTCCAGAAGAGGAATTGACATTAGTTACGTCCCTGAGTGTAACTTTTTGTATTTTCAAAATTTATGGTTCAAGAGGAATGCTTCGTGAATTCTCTTGTAAATATTTGTAGAAATATCAAATAATTATTCCCAAAGATGGTCTTGATTATTATTATTGTTGTTATTCATTATCATTTTTTTCGTGTGAGTTTTGTGATCATCTGAGATGTTGATGCGGAAGTTCTAGGGTTTATGGAAACCTTGATACAAAAGCTGCAGAACTTTTCTGATATTAGAGGCCGGGGCTTTTTTTTTTCCCTCGTTAGAAAGCAGATCTTCAAGTGGTTTTATCTTTTGCACTCTTACTATGGAGGATAATAAGTATTATATATATCAATGAAAGCATTGGCATTCTTTCCCTCCAAAAAAAAAAAAACGTCGAGGATTGTAAAAGTAGCGAAAAGTAATAAAACAATTATAAGATAATTATTGTATGCATATTAACATAACTCTAATTAACTGCAGCTTGCTATATCGATCTAGATCCTCTCAAAAGTCATGATTCTGTCAAATTAAGTTTGAAAATTAATCTAGCACCAAGATATATTAATTGTAGCAGGAAAAACATGACACATAGAATCTCCACTCATTTATATCAAAATCTGCAATGAGGATATGCAGCTTTGAATGATGTCTATATATTAACCAAAATATAAATCCAATGCCAAGAGAGGAAATGTTTTGGTAACACAAAGTAAAAATAAATAAAAAATTTTCTTAAAAGAAAAGTCAATTAATTAAAAAAATCTTTAAAAAAAATCTTTTTTTTTTCCAATATTTATCCGTGTGTCATATTATGCTAAATACATGTTATCACAACATCGTTGCATGCTCTCAACTTGTCATTTCCATGTAACCGACGTTCTAAAATTCCAAGAAAAAAATGGAGTAAAATTATAATTTTAGCGTCTTGCCAAAACAATCAATTCCGTATCCAGTTTAGATTTTGTAATCGAACTTTCTCTAAGAATATTTAAGCATGCTTACACACGTGTTTAATTTCATATTTGCCTTTTTCGGCAATATATATACTTCTTGCAGGCTTGCAAATTGTGATAATTAGAATTCCTTAACATAATACAGTGCTTATCTACTCTCCACAAAGTAGTTAATTTGTTTAATTTACCTGTTTTCGTTGAGGAAATGGAGAGCAATAACAATTCCCTGCGTCAACAAATTGCTGATATGAGGCAATCACTTTTCGATGAGGTTTTTTCCTCTATAACTTCTCAATATATAGATTAAGATATTGTTAGTTTTCATATTTCATCTTCCATTCTTCATCTACATTTAAATTAAAGCATTTGTTGTTTGTTGATTTCAATTCCTTGTTTAAGTATCATTTCGCTATCAAGACATACCATGGGTGAAATTTCAATATTCAAATGCACTATAATACACACACACATATGTAATATGGTCGTATAAATACATATCAAGGACCTCATTTAAATATTAATTGGAGAATCAATTTCATAGTAAAATATGCATATATAAGTAATTTTGCATGCCATCTCATTATTATTTTTTTAGTAAAAAAAAGAAGAAGACAAAATCATTATTATATTCCAATTAGATTGACGTTCACCACCAAACTCATCCCACACTAAGCCACCTTATTAATTCTTTAAACAAAAAGATAGGATTTTGAGTGTGTAATTGTAAGCATGCAAGATTTTGACTAGAATGGTCCATATGTAATTTGAAAAAAAAAAAAAACAGTAATGAAATAAGGTAGAGTGGTCCATTAATGTAAAACCATTGTGCTTGCAATTTGCAGGAAATGCTGGACCGCCACTATAGAACAGTGGAGGAATTGTCAGATAAAGACCACCCCAACTTTGCCGAGGAGGTTATGACCATGTATTTTAGGGACTCCACTAAATTGATAGCTATATTTGAAAACGCATTGTAAGTCATACTACTACAACACGAGTTCCAAATTATTATTATTATTATTATCAAATTGTTTTCTCATTCTAATTTTCATTAGTTAGTTAGTTAGTTAGTTAAAATTTAATTAGCAGTGACTAAAACTAGATTAATAACACACTAACTATATGTATCTTTTTGATGAAACACTAACCATATGTATCTGTTTAATTACACAGGGAGAATGCCCCCTTTAATTTCATTGTTCTTGACAAGTACCTCCATCAGCTCAAAGGTAGCAGCGCCAGGTAATTCTTATATAGACTCCTCCACAATATATGTATGTGTATATATATATATATATATATATATATATGTGTGTATGTGTGTATTGTCTTATAATTAGGTTTTATCATTCTGGCACAAAATCTATATGTACAGATGTAAACATTGCTCATAGCTTTTGCTTAACAAAAGACAATCTCACTCTTATTTCAAACTTATCAGTTTTGTCATGTATCCAAAAAGTATTTGTTCATAAATAAAATGTCCGATTTTTAGTGGGCGTTAATTCGGGTCATCGAGCACGGCCCAGGCAACCCGAAAGGTAAAATTGAGCCGGGCACAATTTTTATGAGTAGATGGTTGACCCAATCCGGCATGGAAGCCAACATTTTATATGAAAATACGAAAAAGAAAAAACAAAACTAATATGGCAGGCTAGGCCGGCAGCCTAATTATGTTTTGAGGCTAAAGATCTAAGCCTAGCCCGGGTACCGGACCAAACAGTCGGGCTCCAGGTTGACCCGTTTGGATAGTATTTTTGTTTTCACTAATATTATCTAGTGTTTTATTAGAAAAAAAATTTACTGATTGGATCATATTCTGCTATATATTTGCAGCATTGGCGCTAAGAAGGTGTGGGAAAAAATCAATGAAATGAGAGATTGCCTCAGGGAACGCGACATTGAAGGGTGATACTGATGTTAATTAATTATACCCTAAATTAATACAGCTTTAAAGTTTGTCATACCGATTTCTTTCTTTGTATAATATTCCATGGTACACAATTGATTACACTATTGAATTTGATAATTTTACCAATTTTTATCACTATTATATCATGTAGTAGTTAAGTGTGTAAAATATAATTATGGTAAATTACTTAAGTAATAATATATATTATTAGTATTGATTCGTCCAATTTCAATGCATTGTCTGTTAGCAGGACTAGGACTGTTCTTCAGCAGCTGAAGAAAGAGCACGACAACTTGCGAGGACGAATTGAACCTTATTTCCGGGTAATATATATATATATATATATATGGATTCATTATTCATCGTGCATCAATCTGTATATAATCATTAATCACTATCTAGATTTGTTTTTTGTTTTTCCTTTTTTTCAGATGTTGCGACAAGTTGGGCCTTCTGAAATAGCTCAGCGGCCCAAATAGGCCGAATGTCTAGCTTTGAGGAGTTATGGCAGTACCGAATGAAATGAATATAAGACTGCAGAGGAGAGACTATAACGACATTATTTCTGTTTTCTTTTAAGTCCTTTGCTTTGTATCTGAAAGAACTCGAATAAGGGGTTTTCATTTACATTAGGAAACTCAAGTATGTTTTATTGTATTAATTCAATGAGAAAAAAAAAAAAAACAAAATAATTTGCCCTCATGTTAAAGTTTGTTGTTGGTACGTATCTGGTGTTCTTTTCTCTTCCTGGTCACCAATTTTAATAAAGGATCGGTTTAAGCCAATGTTACACAATTTATCATTCAATAATGCACTCAATAAATCATAAATTTTGCTCTAGTTCATCCGGTAAACATTTTATTATGATTATCTTCTCATATATATATATATATATATATTTAAAACATGATCATAAATACGACCATTTATGCAATCATAATCAAATACATAAATGTTAATTTCTCAGACCTAATTCTGAAAGACTAACGAGGTCAAAGTAGGACGTTATAAAACTAAAATTCTAATTAGTTCCAAAAAAAATGAAAGTGTTAATAAAATTAAAGTTCTGTTCATTTCACCGATTAGAGTTTAAAATTTGAGTTTTACTACAATAAAAGGCTCTTAGAAATAGTCACATTTAACTTTTTTATTACAGTAAAAAGCTCTCACATAAAGTCACATCACAACTCGAATTAAAAACTCGAATCTGCAAATTAAACGGGCCCTAAATAACTTTCTCCATTCTCATTAGTGTTGGTTTGGATGTAGCTGACGTGGCATAACTGAATTAGAAGATTTGTTTGGGAAATTTTCTTCTTTTTTTTCCACGTAATTAAGAGTGTTAATTTTCTATGTTATATCTGATTAACCGACTGTTAGAAAGGTTATCAAGTTAGTTACACAAGGTTCCCGCCAAAAAGTTAGTTACATACGGTTTCAGAAAGAATATTAATCTGTAAAAAGAATAAAGTTGACAAAATAGATTAGAACAAAATTAATTAACGTTTCTTGTACCTTGAGAGAGAAGTTTAGTTTAGTCTCTTGTGAAAAGAGGAAAAGAGTGAACGTAATTTGCATTGGTGAAAAGTGATTAGTGAAGACTTCTTCATCAGCATTTTCCCTGTGGACGAGTACCGTTCAATTAATTTGGTACGTAAGAAAGCTCTTGAGTTCACTGATTATTGATTAAAATCTTAATTACTTACTTTTGTGCATTCTTGATTAATCTTCATTAAAGCAATTATGTTCTAATTATCTGCAAGGTTTGAACAGAACATATTAAAGATGGATTTGTACAACAAATTATATGAACCATTGGGCTGTTTTTAGTAGATAACGTATAGATTAAGGAGCCAATTAGTCTCTTTTGATTTGGTTTTAGATTCCAGGAAAAAGACTAATCTAGAAAATTCAGTGGCAAATTCAAGCCTTTAGATTAAAATCTTGAGAAAAATTAAACTAATTAAGTTGCTAATTATGTGTTCTTCTTTGGTTCGAACAGATCAAGCTCCTAATTTTCTTTTTCAATTAAAAATTTGGTATTAGCATCTCTTTGCGTGTGTGTCAATCCCAGTAATGTTAACAAAAATTAGCATCGAAAGATCTTGTGAAGAAATCTTGCAACTCATAATAACAGATTAGGCAATCCTATTGTTGTCTAATCTACATTTCAAATCTGTATATACACTAGTAATTGGTGTATGCCTGTTTCTA